GAAAATAAGGTGATGGTTGGGGGTCACCACCAAAGGAGGACTGTACGGAAGGGTCGGGGCCTGAGGAAGGTGGAGAACCACTGCCCTGGGGCTCCTTTCCCCTCGGGCCAGGGAAGGAACAGAGAGCTGCAGGGACCGGGTCTGCACGGCAGGAGAACCCCAGCCCCAACTGGAGCCATGGCGATCGGCCGTGGAACGGACGGCTCCGTGAGGTCTTCCGGAACTGACTTTGAAGGCAGCCGGCCACCAAGCCTTTCTTCCAAGGCACCTCTGGGGGGATGGGAGCTGCCAGCCGCTCCACCAGGAGCCGGGCACGGAACCGTGGGCGGCAGGAAGGGGCTGCTGGGGGCACTTCTTCCAGGGGTCCCCCTGTTCCCCTCCTGTGGCAGACACCCTCCTCCACCTTCTGCCTGGTTCACTTCCTGATAACACTCCTCCGGCTTCTGTCGCTGCCACCTCCTCCAGGAGGGCTTCCGGGACCACCCTCCAGGATGTCCCCCACAGTCACAACCACAGCACGCGCTGCACTGCGGGGCTCAGCTTGCCTCCCTGGTGTCCTGCCTGGCCTATTCCCAACGGCCTCCCCAGTGTCCAGAGGGGGGCTCAGCACACGGGGGCTGCTAAGGCAGGGGGGTGGGATATGAAGTTTGGCCTCTAAGAAGTTTCCCTACAGGTAGGGCTGACCGGTGGGTGCCTCAGGACGGCTTGAGTGAGCCCCGATTCTGAAGGACCACAGACCTGCCCAGCCTAGGGAAGCAGCAGCCCCCTGCCCAGAGAGGAAGCCTGCCCACCCACTCTGCCTGCCCCTCACCGCCTCTTCCCTTTCTCCCCCGTCAGCCTGCTGGGACACCCGGAAGGGCAGCCTGGTGGCCGAGCTGTCCACCATCGAGTTCAGTCACCGGGACCCTGTGTATGGCACCATCTGGCTGCAGTCCAAGACGGGCACCGAGTGCTTCTCCACCTCCACAGACGGGCAGGTACCCCCGGCCAGGGGGGTGGGGGTGGGGGACCCGGGCCACCATTAGAATCACCTGGGGGATGCCTCTTTTGGTATGAAAATGGAACAGCAGGCAATGGAACAAGACTGCCAATATTCAGAAGGATCCACAGGGACACGCTTCCTTCCCGGCTCTGGTCCCTAGCCCCCTTGCCTGGAGCCCCTTTCCCTGGTATTGTTTCTTCCGTGACTTCCTGGGAGGGATTTTGCAGAGTAGCCACAGGAAGCCTGGGGGCCTAGTGGTTAGGTGTTGGGCTGGTGCCCACGAGGTCAGCCGTTCAAACCCACCAGTGGCTCCGCGGGAGAAAGAGGACTCTGTCTACTCCGGTCCAGAGTGACAGTCTCAGAAACGCGCGGTGCAGCTCTGCCCCGTCTCAGGGCCGCCGTGAGCGGGCCTCGGTGGGATGGCAGGAGTTTGGCTGTTCTGCTGTGAGCAGCCCGGGCCCTCGCCGTCTGCACCTGACACGTTGCTCAGCGCACACACGGTGTCCGGGGCTTTGTGTGTGCGACGTATGTTGGCGGTAACTTCATCACAATTTAAGAGGAGGTAGCACATGGTGCAGGTCTCCGGACAGCACGGACTCCTGGCAGGGGGACGTCTGGGGCAGCGCGTAGGGGAGGACTTCCCTTTTCTGCACAAACAGGGTTCGTTATAAATCATGTACAATGTCCTACGGAGGCAGAAGGATCCCTGCTGGCACGGTGGGCTCAGCATCGGGCAGCAGTTCCACCCTCCAGCTGCTCAGAGGGCAAAGGATGAGACTGTGTCCTCCCGTACACAGCTGCCGCTCGGGGACCCCCAGCGCCAATGCCCTGCCCAACAGGGTCGCTCTGAGTCGGAATCGCCTGGATGGCCGTGGGTCTGGTGTAGTGAGGTGGGGCAAGAACAACCCAAGAAAATCGATCATGAGAAACCGGGAAATGTATTTTCACGGCAAATGACAAAAGGGCGATTTCCTGAATACCCCAAGAGCTATGAGGTGTCGGCAAGAAAAAGAGGTGGCCCACCCAATGGAAATCGGTACGAAGAGAAAGCGAACACAGAGAAGCTACAGGTGAACAGATGTGTCAGAAACTCTGCCCTAGCCATGCAGGATAAGTGGAACTGCACGTGAAGGGGCCCCTGTGCGCGGGAGAAAGGAACCCTGTCTGGTGGCGTAGTGTGGATGCCTTTGGGTTGCACACTGCCAGGCAGCAGTTCGAATCCACCAGCCGCCCCTAGGGCGAGCATGGGGACTTTCCATTCCAGTGGAGACGTAGAGTCGCGGAAACCCACAGGGGCGGTCCTACCTGCCCTAGAGAGTCACTCGAGTAGGTGCTGGCCTGGTGACGCTGAGTGAACACTGGGAGTCTTGGTGGCCCAGCACGGAAGCACTCGGCTAACAGAAAAGACAGCAACCCTACCCCACCCCCCACCCCCCCGGGGGGATCTCACTGCCAACCGGGTGGGGAGAGTAGAACAGCCCTCGTGGGTCTCCCAGGACAGCCCCCTCTTGCTCCCTTGAAGCGGCTGGTGGGTTTGAACTGCTAACCTTGCGCTAGGCAGCCCACCATGTCAGCAGGACACCTCCAGGCTCCTTCCCTGGAGACTGGCACCTCGACCACCCCGTGTGGCCGATCTGCTCAGGCACCGGGCTTGCTGTCCTGCGTGGAAACTCAGCTCCGTGGCATTTCAGCACACGCACACCTTTACACTCGCCCACACGTGGGTTTTCACCACGGCTACGTGTTTTGCCAAAGGGCCCTGCTGGTTGAAGTCGGTGGTTGGCACCCACCAGGCTCTCTGAGGGAGGGGGACACAGGAGTCTGTCCCTGCAGGTGGCAGCCTCAGAGACTTCATGGGCAGTGCTGCCCTGACCTTTGGGGCCACTGTGAGTCGAAATCGACCGTGCAGTCACCAGTACTGCGGTACTGGGGACTAGAGCGGTGAGGAGGTTTGCTCCCAAGGTTTGCCTGGAGGCCACCATCCACGCCAGGGAGTGCCCAGGTGGGACCCCCTTCTTCCACAGGTGACACGTGTCTGTCAGCAGAGAGGGATGGGAGAGGCGAGAGCCTGGCGGTTGCTCGAGGGACCTGGAAGTCTCAGTGACAGCCCCCACCCACCCCACCCACCGCCTCTCCCCCCTGTCAGGTTATGTGGTGGGACATTCGGAAGCTGAGCGAACCCACGGAGCTGCTCATCATGGACATCAGCAAAAAGGAGAATCTGGACAACTCGCTGGGCGCCATCTCCCTGGAGTTTGAGTCCACCTTGGTGAGTGGCCAGGGAGGGAGCCCCCTCTGAGCTAGTGTCCTGGGCAGCGGGAGGGAGCAGCATTCCTGGTGTGATGGACCCAGACGTGCGTGGTCTTTACAACAGGCGTCCAGCAGTGGGCAGCAGAGTTGAGTGGCAGGGGAAGTGGGGGGATGGCTTTTCTCGCCCCATGTTGGGCTGGTGGCTGGGCTGTGCAGAAAAGCCAGCGCCTCCCTGTGTGTTGGAGCAGAACAGCCCTGGGGGTTATCAATGGCCAATTGTTTAGAAGCAGATTGCCATGGCTTACGGAGCCCTTGAAGTAGACTTTCTGCCATGCAGTGGATGCCGGCTCACAGCGATCCTTACAGCACAGGGTAGAATTGCCCCTGTGAGTTTCTGAGACTAGAACTCTAAAGGAGTAGACAGCCTTGGCTCTCTCCCAAGGAGTGGCCGGTGGTTTGAAACTGCTGACCTTGAAGTGAGCAGCCCAACATGCAACCACTGTAGCTCCAGGGCTCCTCTTCCTTGCTAACTGCAAGGTCGTTGGTTCGAACCCGCCAGTCACTCCACAGGAGAAAGAGGAGGCTGCCTGCTCCCGTGAAGTTCCAGCTCTGGAAACCCACTGGGCCAGTTCCGCCCTGTCCTACAGGGTCACCCTGAGTCAAAATCAACTCGACGGCAGTAAATTTGGTCTGGTTTCTTCTGAGGCACCTGTGGGTGGGATTGAACCACCAACCTCTCCTGTTGCAGGCAAGCACGTTAACCACTGATATCGTAGGTTCTCTGGCCAGGGCAGGGTTCCAGAAAAGCCTGGTTCTGTGGGACCAGCTGTGCCTGGGACCAAGACCAGGGGGCTCAGTCTCTCACCCAGACCCTGCCCCTACCTTGAGCATGCCCCCGGCTGGTGGGTTCACTTTCTCTTGAGAAGGAAATGACATCAGGCTCCCCCCGGGACACCTGGGACAGCCAGCAAGTCTTATCTGAAGATGAGCTGCTAGGCTAATGCATCAAGGAATCCAGTCTTCTAGAAGCATGGTCTGTCCCAGGGGACCCCCCTGGGAAGCAGGAAGACAGCTTTCCCACATGGCTCTGGGCTGGGACTGGCTCCTGGTGGCCTGGCCTCCCCCACGGGCTTGCCTCGGATTTCATTCTCAGCCCTGGGAAGTGGGAGGCGTCTGGGCTCATGTCCCACATCCGTAACTAGGGGAGTTGCAGGGCTGGGGCTGGCTGCTGCTGGGGGGTGAGTAGGGATTGGGGGGATTGTGTAACCGACCCCCCAGCCCTGGGATAAGAAGGCAGAGCACTGAGCGTGGAGGCTGGGGTGGGAAGGACTCAGGGAGACGATGTTCTGTCCTGAGGGATGTGACCCCACCACTGCTCACCACCACCCCAGCCTGCCCCCTACTGAACACACCCTGTGTGCAGGGGCCCAACCCCTGATATCGCAGCTGCTGCCCTATGAGGTAATGTTATCCCTAACGTGCCAAAGAACATGGGATCCAAGCCTAGGACACCAACTCCTAACCCCCCCCTGGGGTTCCTTGGGGGACCCGGCTCAGAGTGGGTCTCAAAGCCCATTGCTGTTCAGTCGATGTGGACTCCTACTGACCTTGGAGGGCAGAGGGGAACTCAACTGGGGGGTTTCTAAGGCTGCAAAGCATTCTGGAAGCAGTCACCATTCCGGTCTCCTGGGAAGCAATGGGTGGGTTTGAACCTCCGGCCGTAAGGTGACCCATACTTACTCAGCATTCCCCCCCACCAAGGCTGCCTTAACATAGGCTTTCTCACTCACTGCCGTCAGGTCCACCAACTCACAGCGACCTGCAGGATGGGATGGAACTGCCCCTGGGCATCTGTGAGACGGGCACTCTGGATGGGGGCAGCTAGTGGGTCCTTAGCAGCTGCTGACCTTCTGACCTTACTGCTAGTAGTCCACCTGCTTTTTTTTTCTTTTTTAGTAATGATTTTGTAAAATTGTGAATTAAGTAGGGGCGGGGGTACATCTTATATCTTATACCTGCCTTAAGGTATACTTACTGCCATGCAGTGGATGCCGGCCTCTATATTCAAAGTTCAAACCCCCCATCACCCCCCCCCACGCCCCCTAATTTAACTCATCACCCAACACGAGCCTCACGGCCATCGAGGCCATGCCGACTCCTGGCCACCCTCTGGGACAGGTAGAACTGCCCCTGTGAGCTTAGGAGACAGGCTGCTTATGGAAGTAGGAAGCCTCTTCTTTCTCGTGAGGAGCAGCTGGTGGCTCCGAACTGTGGTTCCTGTGGAGCGCAGCCCAAACCAGTAACCACGGCACCGCCAGGGACCGTGCTTCCAGGCCCTCAGCTCCCCCTGGTGGCGGCAGCTGCTTTTGCGGAGGCTTCCAGGTCTCACCAAGCAGCGGGGATGGGGCTCCAGATGGACTTCTCTCCCCACTGTTGGGTCCTGGCAGCTTTGACCCTGCCCCCAGAAACAGCTGGGGGCTTCTGGGCACTGAGCCCTGGGAAGGTAGGTCTGCTCCCCTCTGATGCTTGGCCAGACAGGAAGCAGGGCGTGAGCGGCCAGTCTGACCCCATGAGGGCCCGCGTGCGGGTCCTACTGGCTGCTCTGCAAGCTGGAGGCTGAGAACCACAGACGTTTATTTTCTCACAGCCCTGGGGGCCAGAAGCCTGATTCCTGGGGGCCAGCAGGGCCGTGTTCTAGGGGAGGGTCCTTCCAGGTCTCTTCCAGCATCTGGGGCCCCAGGTGTACCTCGGCTTGTGGTCACATCATCCAATGTCGGCTGCGGTCTTCACACAGCGTCTTCCCTCTGCGTCTCTGCTGTCTGCTCTCCTTGGAAGGAAGCAGTCATGTTGGGTCCACATGTTGGGTCCACCCTCAGTGAGACGGGTTGACATGGGGTGACCACCATGGGCTCAGGCTTGAAAACGATTGTGCGGCTGCCGCAGGACTGGGTGGTGTTTCAGCCAAGCCCACTGTCCCAAAGGAACAGCGACCATTACATCTGCAAAGACCCGGTTTGCAAATGAGGCCGTACTCACCTTGCCTGTGGGTGGTGGACAGGCCTGTAGCACCCCTTTCTGGAGGACATGTCCATAACGGCCACTAATGTGGAGGCTCTGGGCTTGTCCCCCACAGGGGGACAGCCCAGCCCAGCCCCCTGCCCCTTCCTGAGCTGGCCTGGTCTTTCCCGGCGGGCGCAGTGGGTCCTGTAGGCCTAGTCTGGCCTGGAGGTGAAAAGACAGCTCCGTAAAGAAGGCGTGGCTAGAACCCTGGAACGGAGAAAGGCGGGGCTCCCCACCCCCCTAAAGAGTTCCAGTCCCGGAAGCCCACAGGAGCAGTTATTCCCTGCCCTGCAGGGTCGCTAGGAGTTGGCATTGGCTTGAGGCCCCGAGTTTGGTTTGGTTTGACCCTGGGGGCTAGAAGATCAAGTGCTGCGTGACACGCTGCTTCCTTTAAGGAGCTCCCAGCCCAGTGGGGAAGACAGGGCACCCATGGGCAGATCGCTTTCTGGGTGCTGGGTGGATTCCTGCCCTGAATTTAGACTGTGCCCTGGTGGCCAGGTGGGTTATGCGTTGAACAGCTAATCACAAGATCAGCAGTTTGAAACCACCAGCGGCTCTTGCAGAGAAAGATGAGGCTGTCTGCTCCCAAACAGCGAGCCAGTCAGCCTTTGCAGAACCACAGCCGGAGTGTGGCCAAGGAGCAAGGGTGGGGAGGCCTCAGGTCATTTCCCATGGACACAAGTGCCGAGGGTTGTGGGGGAGCCCAACCCCTCACACTATATCACGGGTCCCATAGGTGCAATTGTACGGTTATGAGATATAAATATCATAGTAAAGTCTTAGAGAATAATCGAGATAGGAGAGAGAGTAAAATGAAGGAGTCAGACACATTTCTTGGTAGCATGCTCACCTCCTGGATGGCCATGATCTCACCAGCCAGGTCCGCGCACAGCGGGGGCAGAGAGGGCAGGAGAAAGTGATTTATTTCTAACCAAGGCTTATATATCTTTTGGGGGCATGCAAGCCCCCTAATTCAGGGGAAGACGTACATCACAGGAAGGGCTTGTACTATAGGTGATACAGTAATGGGAGGGTGTAGTATTAAATAAAAAATTGTAGCTGGGGGGTGAAGGGCCAGCCCCCACCCGCTGATACTCCTACGAGTTCAGTAATACTACTTCTGGGTTCAGTAATGCACAATTGTACGGTTGAGATATATAAGTATTATATTAAAGTCAT